AGTACGTAGTTACTTTCCACCACTGCTCACAGATGAGGTCTCATGTCAGGCCTTTGCAATGTGACAGACAGGAATGTGGAGGCATATCAGGAGTTGCAGTCACTTATTAGCACCACTAGTGGGAACCCTAAAGCCAGCAATGAGACAGCAAGTACATACTCTGTGGGTTAGGACTACAGGAGACATAACATCGGCCCAGGTTTCAACAAGAGGTTTGATGAAAGAACATGCTCAGCAGTTACTACATGTTTAAATGATCCACTGCACAGCGGATGTTCTATTAATACAATCAAAAAATCTTCTTTCCTTGACCAATGTACATTTTTCAGCTATCTTGCCTTTATCTTGGTGGTGTTTGAGGTTATTTCCATGTTCCTTGTAGTCCATTGATCAGTCATGTGACCAACTGATCACTCTAGCATGCAAACCAACATTACCGTAATCTTTTTTTAAATTATTATTATTATTATTATTATTTTTTTTTTTTTTATTTTTTTTTTACAAAATACCATATTCATTCCCAGTGGATAGAGAACATTTGAGAAGAGAAACAGACATTATCATACACACAAAACATTCAAATTTTCAATACAAAATAGCAAATTCTATTTCCGTTTCTTCATTTTCAAACCCATTTTTTCAAAACAAGGAATCTGAAATATATTGCATCTCTAAATTTTTAATTCAGTCTGCATTTCACCCTAACACATCCATCCAGATTTCCAAGAATAAAACATGACAAGAATGCCAGTGGGCTATATACTTTTTAGAGACAGTGTAATAATGAAGATTGGAAAAGGCTCTTTCTACACACCTAAACCTGTTCAGTGATAGCAGCAATCATGTGAACAGAAACACTTGGAGAATATTTAAGGTGCTTTACTGTAGTTAATAATTGTATGTGAACATTGAATAAGATAGTTTTAATAAGAGTAAACCCAGTAATTAAAGTGTTCACTCTGATGGCCAGAGGACTAACCTTCTTGGACTTCTTCTGGTGGTTTTGATCCAGACATGCTCATGTGGTGTTTATGATTTCTGAGCTACTGGCTCAAGATGGAGCCAAAACCTCTCAGCCCAGGGCTCTCTGGCAGGCTTCAGCTGTGGCATCTAACTGCAGTTCATATTACCATATTACTAAACTAAGAAACTGATAAGCACACTAAGTCAGATGTCTCACTGTAACACAGAAAGAGGAAATGTAGCTGCTAAATTACTTCCACCAAACTGTTTCTCATTAACTGTCGTGTTATGGCTTTTCTGGTTTAACAACTCAAATTTCTTTAGGAATAATACAAGTGAGAAAGTTATTTACTTATATTTTTTAAAAAATTACATCGACACAGTTTGACCAGACTACAGGGAATCCCCATCTACTGACACACAATAAACCAAAATAGACCAACAACCTCTACTTAACCCTTAGATAGCTAACACACTAACCCAGATAGCAAATAAGCACCCATTCACTGCTCTGTGCTGTAACCCAGATTGCAGTTTTCACACCATATTTTCATGACAAGCCATCAGCAATATGTACTGCTATGTGCAGTAAATTGCTTGATAATCAGACTGAACTGCCATTTCTTTTCACTTTAATTTGTGGGCGGCGATTCAGAGGTCTGCTTTCAGGTTATATACGGTCATTTAACTGTAGGTCAGCAGTGTATCCAGTAGGACACACACAGCTAAAATATTTTGTTTTCACTTTGACATTAATTGTTTTCTGTGGATCAGTGTTTAAAAATCCAGAATGTCTGAAAAAAAAATGACTGTCATAGATAGTAATAAAGCAAACACCCTAATAAATAACTTGATAACAATATATTGTGCACATCTTTCACCATTTTCCAAACTTTTAGCTAGCGGCTGCCCATGTGTCAATATCTCTTTTTGTTTGTTACAGTCAGGATGAAAAGCTGCTTTCTTTAAGGAGCTATGATCAATATTTTTATGTTTACAATGGAACATATGACTACGTGTATGTAACAGGTGTGCTTGCAGTGATTAACCCGCAGAGAATTAACACTCTACTCTGCAGTTCTCGTAGGCTTGAAGAAGCTTTAGAGCCCTATTACGCAAGAATTGGTATTTTTTGCAAACTGCTGTGTCGACAACTTTGCGAACACAGCCGAACATCAAGCGAGTGCAACAACACAAGACATAAATTATAACTTGACAGTTCAACAGCGAGAAGGCCAGGCATCAGTCTTTCAGCCTTTTATTTTGCAAAGTCTCACCAATGACTGAAAGCCAATCTGAGATACTCTTGTCTGGCCTCTTTCCCGGTCACTCTCTCTTTTTCTTTGCTTCCTCGGCCAACGTCCTCTTCATCTCTGCCATGTTGCCCCATACAGAGCTAGATTCTTCTTATAGCGAGGATCGAGATCGAACCTGCTTAACCCAAGTTATATATTGCAAGAACAGGTGCTCGGGACGCGGAGTGGGAATGAAAGTGTCATTCTCTATTACAAGTCAGTGTGGCATCAGAATTATTTTGATGCTGTTATTTTCAGGTAAAATAGTGGCATAATATTGCGTTAAAATGTCTTTTAGCTTTACTGTTTTGATTCACACTCACTGCTCTCATAAGGGGGATAACTCAATTTAACTCACCTGGAAAAAATATAAATGGTGAAGGAGGAAAATAAACAGCCAAATAGGACTACAAATTGTTTTATTTTATAACTGCAATTTACAATAACTAGCAAGCTGGCCGTTAACACATATACGCCATGTCACGTTGCGTTACAGTTAACGTTAGCTAGTTAGCAAGAGAGCAGAGAAGAGGAAGAAGAGGAAACAGTTAGCTAGCTAAAAGTAATGGATAAAATGTTGAAATAGTTTAAGTAATGAATTAACAGTTGGACTTGTTAGGTAACAGTAATGGTTGAAATATGAGCTAAATGTAATAGATTCAATTCAATTCAATTCAATTTTATTTATATATAGCGCCAAAGCAGGTCTAGACCCACTCTGTGATGTTATTTACAGAAGCCCAACAATTCCCACCAAGAGCAGCACTAGGCGACAGAGGCAAGGAAAAACTTCCTTTTAAGAGGCAGAAACCTCGAGCAGAACCATGGCTCAGGGTGGGCGGCCATCTGCCTCGACCGGTTGGGGTGAAGGAGAGAGAGAGAGAGAGAGAGAGAGGGCAAGAGAGGAACAGAGAGAAAGAGGGATGAAGGAGAGAGAGGGGAGGGAGGCAGCCTACACAGTATACACACAGAGGTACAGACAGTGAAGGTGATGTTGCTATAGACTAAATGAAAAACGGTACAGATATTTATAGTAGTGTTAATGATAATAATCGTAATGCTAATGATTATAATAACAATAATAACAATAGGATTAGTAACAATAGTTGTAGCAGAGAGTGTCGAGCAGGAACACGGGGGCAGCAGGTGACCCGCAGCCACAGATCCAGACTCCACAGCTCCAGAGCCAGAAACACCTGCAGGAAGTGATAGGAGGAGAGAGGAGAGGGACGAGAAAGCACAAGACTATGGGAAAGGGAAGGAGTTGAGTTAGTAACATGCATTAATGGGATGAGGTTGCATACAGAGGGAGAGAAAGAAGAGGAGGGAGGAGCTCATTGCATCGTGGGAAATCCCCCGGCAGTCTAGGCCTATAGCAGCATAACTAAGGGATGGTTCAGGACTACCTGAGCCAGCCCTAACTATAAGCTTCATCAAAGAGGAAAGTCTTAAGCCTACTCTTAAATGTGGAGATGGTGTCTGCCTCCTGAACCCAAACTGGAACCTGGTTCCACAGGAGAGGAGCTTGATAGCTGAACGCTCTGGCTCCAATTCTACTTTTGGAGACTCTAGGAACCACAAGTAACCCTGCATTCTGGGAGCGCAGTGCTCTGGTGGGGTAGTAAGGTACTATGAGCTCTTTAAGATAAGATGGTGCCTGACCATTAAGAGCTTTGTAGGTTTGTAGATAAACAATGGAAACCGTTGGTGTGGATAAATGGTTGAAAAAGTTAGCTAAAAGTAATGGCTAGTCTAAATATTTTAAAATCGCTGAAAGTCATGGTTAAAGGGTTATAACGTCCAGCTTCTGCCAGTCCAAGTGGTAGTACGAATGCAAGCAGTACCAAACTTTGATAATTAATTTGTTTGAAAACATACTGTAGGCCTATATCCACTTTATAAAGCTAATAGCGTTAAATAACCAGTTTATAATCCATTCATAACATATCTGGAACATAATGAGTGGTGTTGGTGAAGGAGTATTTGATATTGATTGATTTCATCTGATAGGGCTGTGGGTATGTCTTACAAAAATGGCTGTGAACCATTGCATTACATCATCACATAACACCTGTCCTGACAGTTCAACTGCTGACAGTAGTGTAGTATTTTGACAAATGCCATTTGTGTATTTGGTGTTTTTGTGATGCAATCTGTTCTCACAGACTTTGACATTTGTCAAGCAAATGATTGTAACCTACAGATCAACATGGAGAATCGGTTAATATTGGATGCTTTTAACAAAAGATGTGGCAGCAATGCACATCAGATGGCACCAGTGGTTTCTGAAATCTGTTCAATAATAAGCAAAGGTTGGGGGGAAAAATGTGAAAATGAGACTGAACAAAAAGTGAAATTGTGCAGTTTAATATATGTTGAGTGAATGGCTAATAGAGCGGATAATTGAAGAAATAGCATGTGATGAGAGCAACACTCTCTAAGAAACAAACTTACATTTCATGAAATGACGGATGACTGAAGGCTTTGGTGAAAGGGGATGTCAGAGGGAGGTGGAGAGATGGAAAGAGAGGGAGAAAGAGATGCAGACAAAAGGAAAAACATTTGCAGCCTGCCCTGCCCCCTCATCACTCTCTGGGGAACAAGGGATTATGGAAATGTATAAATGCAGGAGAGAGGGAGACTGACAGACAAGGAGGAGGAGGAGAGAAAGAGAAGGGAGAGAGGAAGAGAGAGAGAGAAAGAGCAAATAAGAGAGGGAGGGAGACAGAGCGATGCTATTGGTTGACTGTTATAACATCAAGCGTGATAGAAATATTTCTCTCGCAGTCTAAGAAATAGAGGAAGGAACGGACGGTAGACTCAGGAAAAACATTCAGGTCTGTTTTCAAAATCAGGCAAATAAGGAAAGGAGAAACAACAGAAAGGAGGACTAATTAACTTATGACTTCTGAGAGCTGTGGACATTTTTGCTTAACAACTGGAGAGATTTCAAAATCAGAATAAATGCGACTCAACATGTAGATGTTTTGCAGGTTTCTGGTTAAATTCCCCCCTCTTTTTCCCCCACAACTGAATATTTTACCCTGCACGCCAGCGAAGACCAGTCTAAATGTATTTGGAGAAATCTGAGGGATGCGTCTGAGAGAAAGATGCAGAGCAGAGAATTCTGACATGGTGCCGACCCAAATTGACAGAGACGAGGAAAGAGTGGACTGTTCAGTGGCAGACACGTCTCCAACCAGACACAGGTATTCTCTACTCGATACTAAGATCAGTCAAGACATTGATCTATGCTAACTGAAACAATTTTGTATTCTGAGCTTGTGTTTGTAAGTCCTCTTGGATGTGTGATACACTGACATTGTAATAATAAATAGTTGTTTCATTTGAAACCTGACTCAGCTGATTTACACTTGTATTATTGTATTGCAAAATCAGCAGTGGCAACCAGTAATTTGCTTTGTTAGAATATAACTGTTTAATGTGCAAAGCAATACCTTGCATCTTCAGCACATGATCAGATTTATGTGGAGGTAAATCATTTCTCCAAAATGTAGAAATAAAATAAGTGATATATAAAGAGCATACTGTCTTTGTAAATAATAACTCAGCCAATCTGCAAACTATGGATGTTTATTAATATTTTAAATATGATTTAGAAATGTGCGTCATTAATGGTGTTCTTGATTTAGACCAACAGATTTACTGAAAGCCATATGACAAACTACTTAACTATAACAAGCCATAACCATCTTACACAGTAATCCTGAGAGTTTTTCAAAGCAGTGCTGTGCTTAGTATCGACAAGAATCCTGTGCTTCTGAGGAGGAGACATTTTGCCTGTCCGAGACAGAAAAGAGGAGCATCAGGACAACGACAGACAACAGACATATGAGTGCTTCCTAAATCAAAGTGAGAGAGGGGTCGCCTCCTGTCAGATACACAAGAAGAGACAAAGACAGGATGAGGGGATACAATGAATCCACAGCTCAAGCTGATTATTGATTGTTACTAAAACTGAATGCTTTACCTACCTGGACGACAGACTCGTCAGACTTGTGTCGGAGGGGAAAACAGACAGTAACCTCCACTAAAAGAAGGAGGGAGAACCGGCAGTAGCCAATATAGAGAAGGAGTAGGGGGCAAGTTCCCTTTCTCTCTCTCGACCCATCTCGTCGTCAGGCTGGCTGGGACAGCCATGGCGTTCACCTTTGCGGCCTTCTGCTACATGCTCACCTTGGTGCTGTGCGCGGCTCTCATCTTCTTCGTCATATGGCAGGTGAGTGGCACTGTGCACACTGCACACACAGTGAAACTAAAACGGGCCCATGTAGGGCCTGTGAACGTCCACGCTCAGTCCCACACAGGCAGACAAACATATCCACCTACACACAGTTGTACAACACTGACAGGAACGCACCACACACACACCTCAGATCCTCCAAAGGTAATGATGTGAATAAATATGTCAGCTGAATCTCAAAGAACACCTGTAGAGTAGTTGTACCTATATGTGTCTGACATTTTGAATTGCCTCTTAAAAGCCACCAAATGAGACTTTGTTCCCTTCAATTTCAAACTGTGAAGACATAATTAGTTGGATAAAGATTAATTTTTGAGCTGGATGATACAGAGTTGCATGAGCCTGAAAAACGCAGGGTGTTCAGTTTATATGCGTGTGCTTTTTCATCTATTTCCATACAGTGACTTTAGGTGACTTGCTTACTTGATAGTTTATCACTACTGTAATTAACTGAAGCTTGTCTGACCTTTTCACATCCAACAAAAAGACAGACTCAAACCGGCTCCTCAGTCGCTCCAATAAAAGCAACCTATGATCAGTTCCTCCAACAAGGTGCTCAGGCTTTAGCAAGCTGCACATACTGAGTACAGGGACGCGTCTAAACACAGTGATCATAAATATCACTGTGAATTTGTCCGCCGGCGGCATTTTGAGTGAAATTTTCACAGATGCCGTTGGACACCAGGGCACTCTGTTTTCTGTTTACACAAGGGCAGGCTCGACAAACACTCTGCTTTGATTGCTCACCTTTAACATTCACTCTATGGAGGCAGTAATAATGTGAGATACAAAACATATCATTATTAAAACAAGACTTGAAATGACTAATGTACCAATTGACTAAGTGGGTGAGACTACATATGAGTCAGTCAGTGTGTCTGTGTGTGAAAGAGACGGGGAGAAGCGTGTCTGGCTCAGCACTCAACCGTGCGATTGAAATGCTTATCAAATTGATTTGGTTCACCCCCTTCCCCTAGTCTGCCTCCACCCACGGTACAGCACCCCAATTCTATGTGGCTCTCAACCAATCAGAGCACTTGCTCACTGCTATAGTAACCATGGATCCCACTGAGGGGCTCGCCGTGTCGCCATGGAAACTGCATCTGTTTACAACAGAGCTAAGTGTGAAAGACGACGAGGGAGAGCCGTATAGACTCATGTGGGGAAATGACCACCAGGACTGTTTCTGTTTCCAACAGATAGAAGCGCTCTGTTTTCATATTGTCATTATCATCATTGTGGACGAGAGTCAGATGCTCATTTATCTGCATATAATGTCTGTTTTTATTGCATTCCAATGAGCCGTCAAAGTGAAGCTTTCCTGTGTTAAAGCTGAACTGATGATAAACCAACAGGTGGCCTTTACACTGAGAATTATTGGTATTTTTATAGAGCTATTAATCAGGTAACGGATGAGAAATACTATCACACATGCTCGCCTCACAGCAGTTAGAGAGCTATCAGCGACAGTGACATTGTTTTCTACACAGTGTCCTCAAATTAAAATATTTAAAAATTATTAAACAAAAACTATACAAGATGTGACATAGACCTCCAGCATGCTTTTGACTGATTGTTTCAGTCCTGCCAGATTATAAATACATAAATGCGGATTTTAACCTCTTCTATAGAAAGAGACTACATGATGACACATGGTATGAACACAATAGGAGCTCATATACAGTGTACAGGGAAAGGGCAAGGCTGTAAGTAATTACACATGTAGAGATTCACCATTTAATTACTATGTGTGAACAATGTGGCTGCAGCTCTGCAAGATGTAGCTGTAGAGTGTGCAGTACAGTATTATACAACAGGCTGAGATTGTGACATGAGCCAACAATGTATTATTTGCATAGACATAGATACAGTATGTGCATTATTCATTGGTATTTGAAAGGTACAGTAACTAAACCCAAACAAACGTACGTGTCTGTTGTTTTTCAGATCATTGCGTTTGATGAGCTTCGCACAGACTTCAAAAACCCCATTGATCAGAGTAATCCCACAAGAGCGGTAAGGACCCTGCTGTTTTATTTCTTTCAAGAATGATCAAACCCTCGTGTCCACTGAGAAATCTCTTCTTTTCAGTTCCAAGAAGATCCCTCAATTATCCACACATAGGGACTGAGAACAAACTGAGGGTTATACTCCAAAAATGCTGCATATGACCCCAAATTCATCAATTAATATTACACATTCCCAAAACAGAGTTCATAAACTCCTCAACAGACTGAGTTTATAAGGAACGGTCTTTAATGAGAAACTCACAGCGTACTAACATTTAATGTCTGTAATCATACCGGGAAAGCATCATTTCATGTAAATGAAGGTTTTCTGATTTGGCAAAGACATCTTTCAAATGTTTCATTCAGCTGCATTCAGCCTCTCTATTGATTTTTCAACAACAAATATGTGTACTATTGCAAACAATTCCTACTAATCCAAGCTTCTAGGTGATTGCAACAGTAGCACTCAGACAGCGTTAGCCTTGAAAACTCATTTGTATGTAGGCTGAAGCAATCAACATTTTACAAAGACAGTGGCTCATTGGCTTAATCAGTTAAAGAGATTGATGTAATGAAGCCGCTGTTTGTATGACGAGATACTGTGCTGTCGCCACAAGATATGTGCCGATACAATGCTCTGAGTGAAAAAAAATATTTTGAGAAAAAATATTAATTGTCCAAAAGTAAATTCAAGATTTCATCTTCCACTTTTGCAGTGTCACTTATGTACATCATGCATACCAAGTCATAAAATAACATTATCATGAGTCAATAATGAGTGCTATTATTAATTTAGCAAGCTGACAGCCGCTGTGAATGTCTTTTTCACAAGTTAGCTAATGTTCTAGGAATCATGTGAACCTGCATCTGAACTGCAAAGTGAGAGTGATGAGGAGTGGGAGAGGAAACTGTGAAAGCAGACTGTGGGAGTGTGGAGGCACGCCAGCTACAGGGGGTGTACACAATAACTGCAACACCTGTAAAATATAATGCAACCAAATAGAGAGATGGAGAACTACTTTTTCTGACAAAGCATCAGCAAATATTGAACATTACCAGCTTCAAGGCAGTAGGATTTGTATCAAGGCTACTGTGCTGGATTGCATTACGTTGCAGGTGTTTTGTCAATCTATAACAAACAACCTGAACTTGCCATCTTAACGGATGTCAACATGTCAGATGTGTTCAGAAAGAACATGATCAGCTGCCGCCAGTCACAAAATCAATAAACTGCACAAACAGAGGAAGACATACATGGCAACAGCCTTGGAAAATAAACAGCAATTATTTCTGATGTTAGCATAGAGCAACGTGTGTTCACTCAACTGCGATTGTCTACAAAAAAGACAAAAGCAGTAAATGTTTGTCATTGAGAGAGAAAATAGAGAAGAAAATAACGGGACAGACTAAACACGTGTTTCCAAATCAGGTTTATGTTTACAGCCATTAATCACAGTTACAAGTTAAAAGGGAGACACAAACACAATGGTACGACACACTGTGATTGGCTGGTTGACAAAAAGTGACTGAAATCTAGAATTATTTCCTCATGAAATGTCTTAAAAGGCGAATAAAGAGCAGTGACATGCATAATTATACGGCAGTGCTATACTCTCCACTGTAAAATAACGAATGACAAAAATCATGCTCTTTCATTTCAAGCCTTCTTTAATGTTAGTGGATGTTGAAAAATTATAAGCTTGTTCGTCAGTGATATAAATTATTTTATTCTTACCTGTCACTTCATTTCATAGTAGTTGCCTGATAACTAACTGAACAACATACTTGACAACACTCTGTGCCCTCATTTGTTGCTATATTGTGAAATGTCTCCACTGCCTTTGATTAATGTCTTATGTCATGTTTCCCTAGTTGGAACAATTAAATATTCAGTGAACTGGATGGCCTGACGTTAATCAGGGCACCTCAGGGAGGCTCCAGGCTATAAAATCCAAGCAGAGTTACTGCAGGACAACAATTTATAATTACAATTACACACCACAGAATGTACACCAGCTTAGCTGCCAGGTGCAGCACTATGCCCTTTACATTTTAAAACTCAGTGTTGTAAAAGGTGACGCACAAATCAAGCAAAAAGAGGAAAACTTACATAGACCAAAACTAACAGCTGCAAATAAACAGTGAGGCTGTGGAGCCAGTGTCTGCTTTGGAGGCTAGGTGGTGTAGATTCAGGGAAAAATCCACTTTCAAGTCATCGGGGGAGTTTATTTATTTAGAATATATGTCCACAGATTCATAAAAGGTGAAGCATGTGGCTCTGGCTGAAGGGAATGCACATCAAAGGGGCTTCAATACTGGAAGCCATCATCTTATAACTAAGACAGATGCCTCAATACAATACAAAATGAGTATGAATAAAGCAAAACAAATTAACAATCAGTTTGTTAATTACCAGACTATTTGAACTTTTCTTTACCTCCTGTCTTAGCCTGGTAATGGAAACAGATTAATCTAGGTGGATGAACTACAGCAAAACATATCATTTGCCTTTGTAGCTAATCAATGAACACCCAAATATAACATCCCCATAAGCGGCCACCAGCTTCTGGCTAGTAGATGCAGCAGCAGAAGATGGATTGCTCTCTTATGGCTCACAGGAGGCCCAACTGTATAAAAGGTTTATTGCTTCAAATGCTTCAATCGGTTTGGCCTACTCAACAAACCACCATTTATTTTTCATGCTTTGTTGCTTTAAAAATAAATGTTTAAACAATATAATGGAAAATAACTCAAGAGTCTGAGACAAAAAATTAACTTGTTCAGTCGGTCAGTTATTATTCATTAATTAATTTAGCTATGTCTATTTCTTTAGTGTTGGGGTAGAGATGTATGACATGTATGACAGAGCGAATCAAAATGCATTGTACAGATGCCTCTTTTACACTAACCATAACATTTACATTTATATATATTAAGTAGGAATCTCCGTGTTTTTGGAAGTTTTTGGATTTTATTGATGTGTCAATGTGTCAGCATTTGTTAGCTGTCCCTCAAAACACAATTATATGAAACTGAAGAGCTTGTGTCATCTCTGCCTTGAGATTTATTTTCATGGATAGACACAGTTAGAAAAAATTGTGAAGAAATATGCAGACTGTTAATCAGACTTTCTTTATATCCACTCCACAGAGAGAAAGGATCCTCAACATTGAAAGAATCTGCAACCTGCTTCGCAAAGTGAGTAATAGTTGTTTTTCACCTGCTGCTGGGGGGTGACTCAAACAGGGGGGCTTCAGAATTGCATGACCATTTATCTTTCCAACCATTGTGAGGACTGTGACGCACACTGATTCATTTCACATGTAACCCTCCCCACGACCCCGTCATCTCTGTTCTGCAGACATGCAGAGATGGAGAACACTGAGACAGTCAAGAAGGTTGTTTTTTTTCAAATCTCAAGGCTTTCAGAAAGAGAAATCAGTATCCCTGAAATGTGACATGCTGTGGAGGCCATTTTGAACATGAGTGTGTTGGAAAATGTTCAATACTGGAATAAAGACATATGATACAACAAGAGCTTTCATTTATCAGGGAAGGCAGCATGGTAGCATGGTAGCTGTTCTATTAGGGCCCATGTATTTATGCAGAGATGATAATTTGAGCCATAATGTTTTTCACATCTGTGAAAAGATGTTTTTATGATTGAATGGACAGATAATCAGTTAAAAATGGGTTAAAAGGGGGGAAAATGCATGTTGGAGGTTGACTTGTATGTAGCTACTCATTCGCAGATGATTGCTTTTGACTGATCATTTGATTTATTGATTCATTATTTTACACAGTGGTGCACTGCAAGGAACCTAAGTGCCTCTGCTACATACCCACTCCATCACAATATAATTGAAAAAGAAATTAGATGAAACATATTTTTTAATGTTTTTGCTGTAGCGCAAATATAATTTCAAATGCCTTAAATTGTTGTAGACGGAGACATGGATTTATTTAGCTAAAACCATGAGGACACTCACAAATGTGGATGCAGTAAAAAAAAAAAAAATCTGGTTCCTAACCAATTTTCTAATACAAAGGTGATCATTCTAGCCTGGTAGTCAGACTGCACTGCCATTTTGGTTTCATGTCATTATTCAGTCTGACAGTGTTAATTCCAAAACTGCCCGGAGGATTATTTTCCCCCCCAAGTGGTGACAAACCTGTCCCATCAACAAAATCGACAGAGAAGCTGTAAAGATTGCTCAGAGAAATTATAGGTTGCTATGGCAAAGAAAAGGATATTTCGATTTAAAAATGATTTCTTTAAAGTGACTGTAATTAATATGTTTATTTTGACAATGGAATCAAATGACTACTAGTATGTAGTGATGAAGCTGTAGAGAATTATCAATCGACTCCGCAGTTTGTTTTTTGCTGCTTGGTTTAGTGTCATCATCTCCATAGCATTGTTTTGGGCTGCAGCAGGCAGCTGTTTCAATCAAAAAAATGACCCTACACTGTTAATTGTTTCAGCATCATTGCAACAATAGAAAAAGTTGGCGAGTAGCTCGTGAACATAGTGGAGCATTCAGCAGCTAAAGAGCCAGATATTTCCCTCAGGAGTTGGTGGAGACAAAAAAAACCTGAGAGTGACTATTGGACTTACATTTATCATTCATTCATTCAGAGAAGTCTCCAGATGGAGATTTTCTTTGTGTCAGCTGGATGTGCAAATAAGCAACTGTTTGCTAACAACTTAAAAGTTGGAGATATTTCAGTGTCGTGCTCACAGCTTGTTGATCCAGAGGTCTTGCAGGCCAGCCACCAATCTGAGCTGCCCGGACCATGCATGCCAAACTACATCGACTTCTGCTAACATCTACACACCAATCTACGTGCGTTTGAAACTATATTTGCACTCGTAACAGCAGTGAGCCACTCGTAACATTAACACCTTCTGTGTGAAAGTGTTTGCCTCGCAGTGCGATTTTGGTTCCATAGAATTGTGGTTATAATACAACATGCAGCACAGGAGTGTTTCAGTGTTGCAATGTCAAAACTTAATCATTTTAGTTTCTAAGTAACCTGACTCCCTGTGTCTGTTCTGGTTAGTTGGTGGTACCGGAGTACTCCATCCATGGGCTCTTCTGCCTGATGTTCATGTGTGCTGGAGAGTGGGTCACACTTGGCCTGAATATCCCGCTGCTCTTCTACCATCTGTGGAGGTACAGTCCCATAACAGATGTCTGATAAGCTTCTGTTGGTCTGATGCGAGAGTGAGCCAAACATCTTGCCTTTTCAGGTTTTTGCATCGGCCAGCTGATGGGTCAGAGGTCATGTATGATCCTGTCAGTGTGATGAATGCCGACATTCTCAATTATTGCCAGAAGGAGTCCTGGTGCAAGCTGGGCTTTTATCTGCTTTCTTTCTTCTATTATCTCTACAGGTAAGTGTAAATTCACAATCTTTTCCATACACTGCTGCTTGATGTACGTTTCAGATTTGTTGTGTATGACCTTGTACAAGGCGCAAGAAAGCAGTACAATTGTTGTTCTCTTTTTCTTCTTTTAAAAAAAAATTGGTCTATTTCCTGCTGAAGTATGGTCTACGCCTTGGTGAGCTTCTAACAGGCAGGAGATCTGGAGAAAGAAAAGGAAGTATATGTATGAAAGACACAGAGGAACAAATGGAGACATCAGCTCTTCCTCTCTTCATGTATCCTTCCATCACTGGCTTCTTGGGTTTTCAACAATCTAACCTTGGACAAAACAAGAGGACCAATCTGAGAGATATTATGAATGTAAAGGTGTTGCCTCCGCTCCATCATTGCTTTATCCAATATACTGCTGTCGGATGGCTGGACAAATCTTTGAAGGACTGAAAGGAAACAGAAGGAGGACGTGTATTGCCTTTGACCCATTATACGAATTAACAATACATTTCTGAAGGGCTGGACTTTTCCCATGCTGCTCTTAATGATCCAGTCGCTCAACTCACTGTGAATCTCCAAACACTTAGGGGCTGGAAAACTAAATACTACAACTAAATGTACTAAAAGCAGGATTGTATTGGTATCATTCCATGTATTCCAGACAACAGACACCTGTAATATCAAACCACTGCTTTGATTGTGTTACAGGTACATTAAACTGTAGGAAACTGGTTAAATTGTACAGGAGAGCCTTAAAGCACTGTAAGCAATGCAGAAGGCCTGGCAGGGAAATAACAGATTGGTGTGTGCACAGACACTTTTAACCAGGATGGAGACAGACCAACACAACATCTCCTTGATGCCAGCCTGCAACAAAAACAACAAGCTATCATCATAAGTTTGACTTCGAGGGTCAATGCTTGTAATGTGCATTCAAAATAAGTAGGTCCATAGCTGTAAGGATGTATTTTATGCTACATGCTATAAGTTCATGCTTTCCAAAGAGCGTAATGCTCAGACATATAATGCCAAAAGTTTATATCTAAAAGACATTGTGCCAAATTAAGAAGTCAGTTAGGAGGAGTGAAAAGAAATCGCTTATAGTGTCTTCATCTACATGCTAAGGCACTGTCAGGCCTTGGCTTTATTTTCACTTTCTTTAAGACACATTTGATTTTGGCACACTGTTTTTTTCTTGAAAAAATAGAAAGGAAAAAAAATGTAGTTCTGTTGTATTTTTTAGTGTGCAGGGAGCGCCTTATTTCTATTCCCAGTGAAGTTTACTCTTACTCATCTTCATCTATACTATAGTCATTTTAGCACAGCAACTTTTCTCTGATCTGAGGTAGAATCTAGAAATCTCATGTACAAAAAGCAATTAAAAACTAGCAATGTAATATGATTCATGAGACATATCGATGAAGTGTTATTCCGTGTATGTAATAACAGTGAGTGGGAGATGAGACATTGATGACTCTATGTTTCCGTTATTTCAGACGTGTAAAGATGGTGAAGTCATCTCAATACGTCTACAATCATACAGTTTCACAAGGGACAGATGTAAGATGTGAAATGTTGCTGATGACCAAGATTTGTAAACAGCAAAGCCTTTCCTCAGCTGGTGCTGCCTTTGCTATCATGTGTTCAGTAGTTTGAACTATTTGTAGATAATTGATGGTTTAAATGTGTGATTTTAACAACAGTAGAAAAACAGAAATGAGCCTGAGAATCAACAATCTGCGATGTTTGTCATACGCAGACTCCACGTGTAGACAATGGTGGTGATAACGCGTTTGGTCTATATACTGTGGGACCCACTTAGGAAAAAAATGTCTTGAATACCACAGCCTATTGAAGTAGTTTAAATTATGTCAATGATTTACATTGAAAATGGTAGTTGCGTCTCTGATCCATGATGACCAGTAATCTTCTTATAATTCTTTTTTTTTTCTCCATTATTTTCATAAACAAGTAAAATAACTTCTGGAAAATGAAATACAGAACACAATAGTAAATATTATTGTATTAATTTACTACACAAATACATTTGCTGTACATTTTGCGTATGTTAGTATATTTATAAAAGGTTTAACCACCTTTATAGATACTAATATTAATTAAATAGCAATACCTAGGATGAGGCTGACAAATTTCTATTTTTAATCATAGTCAACAAATCCCATGAAAAGACTAAAACCAACAATGTCTCAATATTTGCGACTTTCCTTTACAGTCTGTGGCATTCAGCCCCAAGAACATTAGTTTCTAGTGAAGATGTAAATCTTCAAAAACATGATACAAATATATTCCTTCATTTTTAAAACAGGCTAAATCATTTCCCAGCACAGCTGAGCACTGTTGATTTTATCAAATGTCACTCCAACAAGAGTAAATAGTGAATTTCTTGGGGACTATTTTGACCAGAGGATTAATTCACATTTGCAGCAGTATTTTCAGCAGCAGAATGTTTATGTGTATGTGGGATCGATCCAGAATAAACTACAGAGCCCATGTTAATCGTAATGAAGGGATATTTTACCCAGGTAACAGTGTCACTCACTGATATACGTTATTATTTTCTCCTACTGTGTTTATTGTTATGCATCAAAATGCCAAAGCAAATTCCTTGTATGTGAAATCGTACTTGGCAATTAACCCGCTGCTGATTCTTTAATAGTTAGAAGCTCTGTGGCAGAGAGGAATAAGCTAGATCAAGCTTTTGCTGTATGGGCATTGCTGGTTTTAGTCCTTTTTTGTTGACAATAAGAAAAATGCAGAATATCACTTCTCTTATCCTTTAAACACAATCCAAAACAGAATATTTTCCAGTTTAAAAAACATCCTGCGTCCTGCAACAATATGTCCAATGACTTTTTGATTGCTATAGAATGCCACCAATTAAGAACTTCTGCAGTAGAGCTTCACCACACACACACACACGCACGCACGCACGCACGCACGCACGCACGCACGCACGCACGCACACACACACACACACACACACACACACACACAAGCACCTCTTGTGTCAATCAGTCTATTTCATGTCATTTTGGTACTAATAAAGGGTTTAGAGGGAGCAACTCAAGCCGTTTGTATGATTTGAATTTCAACCAAATTGCAAGATTTACTAGACTGAAGCAACTTTAATATTCTGTCAATGTTCTTGAAGACACACAGCAGACAGACAGTGCATGTTGTGCCAAATAATGTTCCCACTGAAGTAATCACAGGACAGGACACCTCAAAACTCTGCCAACAATGTGAGTGTTTTGAGTCTGGACAATCACTATTAAAGCACAGGAACACCAGGAAAGGAGGAGAGCTTGGTTTGAAGTTATTATGTAGTTGCTCTAAACAAAGCATTTTAGAAAACTGTATTTAAGTATCTATTTGTATCTGTCTTTTATACATTTATCATCAATGTGCGCTACAGTAAATTTGGTGGATTACTTTATATTTATTAGGTTACACTATGATGTACAGTTAATGAACTGTGATTCTCATGCCATATTCTAATAAAACGGTAACTCCAAAATGATCATCTTCAAGTTTCCTATTTCTTGCCTGTTAAGGGTCAGTATTTTCTGTGATGCGTTTTGCAGACCTGATGCTCTGCCAAGACCAGAGATGTACCAAGGGAGAAAAATATAACTCTGAGGATGATGAGGGGGGAATTATAACCGAGGATACTGAGTGGTGCCTTAGATGGAGTATGGAAGACGAACTGCCACCCTGAAAGCTGTCAAAAAGCAGCTGCATTTAGAAGTGGTTTCCTCTTAAAAAGCACCAGAATAACTGAATTCCCTGAAAATGCCTCCCTGATGTGATAAGAGTTTCTACTGAAGAGGCAGCAAAGAGGATGATGGTCTTTCATAAATGTCTGTACCTCTAGAATACTAACATATCAAATTATAGAGCACTGGGTGGCTGTTGGATTGCATAACAAAACTAAGTTGATAATCTGCACAGTAAGAGACCACTGATGAAAATGTCACTGCAGCTGTAATACATTTAAAATGTTCTGACTTTGTCTTTTCTTCTGAAAGAAAAAAGAAACAACAGAAAATGAGAACATGTCTCTGAGCCGGCTCAGGGACTCATTTGCAGGGTGTGTATGGCTTTGCCAGGTTATTGCTTGTCTAAATAATGATTCAGACAAAAGACAGAGCAACAACCAAGCTTCAAGCTGGCGTTTTCCCTCTGTTTGAAAAGGACATATCATTCCCCGCTGTCACCATGGAAACTAAATTGTATTAGAGATTCCTGTTGACTCACTCTGAGGCTCAAAACACACATAAAAATACAATTCAGCCTGGTTCACACGCCTGGCAGCACTGCTTTTCTGCACAACACATTTTTTTCAAATTATATTCCCTCCTGTGCATATATAACAGCTTCATGTTTGTAGTCATGTAGTCATGATGACCCCACCCCCAATGACACCTGCTTATCCCAGTTATACGGATATGTAAACACACACACAAACAGCAACTTGCACGCACACACACAACACATGCATCTGTTTCTCGATCTGCCTCATCCCACGGTTCGCGCCGTTTCACACTCATCATCGCGGGCTTTTCCTTTTTCAGCACCCTTCACCATAATAATTGTCTCAACTCCGTTCCCCTCTCTCCTACGTCTGTGCTCTCAGAGAGGTGTTACCATGGAAACTGGCTACAACTGATGGGTCTGAAACATCATGATTGGCATACACAATTTGCACACACACACACACACACACACACACACGCACACACTAATTCTGCTCATTCATTGTTATGCAAGGCACTCGCAGATGTTGAATACTATTATACGCGCAGACATAGGAAAACCATAGGACACGCTGTATGTTAAGGTCTTGTGCTTGACAAATAAACATGTAATTGAAGCTTCTTGTTAAGCTTTCTTGGCAGAATGCCACAACATTAACAGTTACACGAAGACTATGGAGACTGTGAGGGAAAAGTGAAAGCATAGAAGCTCAGAGTGAACTATTTCATTAAAAAGAAGAGATGAATTGAAAGGGGAAAAGGAGAATGGAAAGAATAAATTGTGTTTATGTGGCACTTATTCCTGCTAAACACAGAACTTTTATTTAATCATTTCATACACAGACTTTCTTCTGGCAATTTTCCCCTGAAGACTGAAAAATGTGAAATAAAAATCACCACCTTAATCCCAAATCAACTGTAGTCATTAAATACATTTTGTTTGATTATTTTATAATTGGATCATTTTCATTTTCTCATTGCAACATTAAGATGTTGGGTTTGCTTTATTTCATCCTGAGAAAAAGGAAGGAGTACTTTCTTAACAGTGACTGTTTGTGTCCAAGAATGTGTCAGACCAGTTCGCACTTATGTTTTTATTTGGACTGCGGATCTTCTGTCCAGACTGAGACTTGAGCGTGACTCACTCTCTGTCAGCTGCTGTCTCATGTACAGTATAAAAATATCCATCGCTGTCATCTGAAACTGTAAATAGTGAGTTCATTATCAGTGAATTCCATCATTTATAAAATGTCATGACATTTCATTTGTCAATTATGTGCAAATAAGCAAATTAGAAAATGTGACCTTCAAAATGTATTTTGCTAAACATAAACTGTTAATCTGTGCTGGAATAAAAAATCCATATATATATGTATACATTTATTTTTTTGTCCAGTTAAGACTATATACGATGTAGGCACTAATGTAAGCACAATTGTAATTGTCCTTTAAATCTGACAGGTATCCTCACAACTAATTTTAAGATTCAATTTTAAGATCAAATCACAGTATATGTTTTATGAATGAGGCCTCGAGGCTTTTATATTTGAGGTTTCTTCTGTGCTCCTTTGCTCTTAGTAATGACCATGACAGTGTCTAATTTTACCCCTGACAGACAGACTACTGAAATATTGATCACAACGTAGGTTAAACACTTGGAAGATTGTTAGAGCTTTCTATGAGTAGGAAGCCCAAGAGCAACTTTTCTCAGCAAAAACACTAACTGATGTCTGCCAGAATGTCAAACTGAGACACATTTAGGCAGTTTAGACAACAGTGAACAGGTCTAGGCTGCATGGTCAGAAAATGTGAGTTTTTGTCTAAAATTCTATATTATCTTCGCTAAAGATAGATGAGGAGCAACAGTGTTTAGATCAGTGGAAAAAGGAAGTACTCAGATCTTTTACTTGAGTAAATGTACCAATACAACAATGTAAAAGTACTATTACAAGTATAAGTCATGCATTTTATAAAAAGTACAATAGTATTATGAGCAAAAAGGTGTCAAAGTACAAGCATGATTTCCGCAAAAAAAATGTCCCTTGACTTGTGATTACATTACTAGATATTGCTATTACTTTAGTATTACATTTTACTGTTGTAGCTTGTTTGATTGAACAACTTTATATATTTCGGTAGTTCATCCTAATCCTAATCATAGATTTTTGTTGTGAGATATTGATACCTTAAAACTGTACTTAAGTGCAAAACCTTTACATTAAATTTTTTTTTTTTTAACAGAATAAAGCGGCGCAAGAGCAATAAAATGAACAGAATCAGGGAAAAAATAAATGACACACAGAGCATACACATATACATACAATCTGAGAAGCTTATATTAATTCAGCATAAATTCATCCACGATGTCGACAACCGTGGCATTATGAAGGAGCACTCCTAATTACCACTTCGCATATGAAAAACAACAGAAAATAGCTTGAGTGCTGCGTAGGCGAGGACGGGGGCCAACTGTACTGTAAATGGGCTCAAAAGGTGAAAAATGAAGGTGTGCATCAGCAGAGCGCTCTGTCATCTGTACACATCTGTGTAAATGCAGGGTGATTTATAATTGAAAAGGGCAAATTTGATGCACATAATTTTTCCACAAACTGAATGGCCTGTGAATAGAATACAGGTATAAATCTGTTTGAAAAAGTGGCAGCAAAAAATCTGAACCAAGTTTCTAACAGGGTGGAAAAGATTATTAAAAACTGACACAGCTAATGGCAAATAGCTTTTCTGGTCATTCAGTTGTCTCCGTCATACTTGCAAAGGTGTAGACTCAAATCTTCAAAGGAATAATGCATTTTTACGTACATGTAGTATGTAAATGAATGATATTAGAGGTCTCAAACGTTGCTTGCTGTTGTTGTATTTGTTTATTTCAAATGTATTTCACAGATAACAATACACTTACAAACAAGAAGACATTGTAAAAACAGACACATTGTAAAAATACTGGGACCCTGTCTTTTTTATTAAAAAAAGGCACACTGCTGTCTATATGGAAATGGGTTTTTATTCGTTTTTTTAAGAAAAAACATTTTTGTGTTTTTTTTCAAATTTTTACAAGAACTTATCAGATTTTTATGAGAAAAAAAAATCACAAAGCCAACACTGTTTTTACTACAGCGTTAGCCTCTTCTGCTGCAGAAACACAGAACAAGACTAGTAATGCAGATGGTCTTTACCTATATCCGATTCCTGTGAGGTTTGGATTAGAAATATTGATCCATCAAACATCATGTTGTAGAATCAAAGCTGATAAAAACTGTGGGCTTCCTGCGGACTCCCAGTAGCGGCGCCAGTTATTACTGATCGGTCTGTGTAACTAAAAATGGATTTACATCTCAAGTTCGTGTGGACATCCTCCTTGGAAGAGTCACAAGGACACTGTGTGACACTTTTGGTCCCGTTGCACCCATCTGCTTTCCTTTTCAGTATATATAAGGGAAGATCCTGTAGGGGACACGCCGACAGTAGGTGTCCCACGCTAGTCCGTATTTGGCCCTACACTGTCTCTCATCGCGGGCCTCTCGATGAATCAGCAAGATGGTGAAATATATGACATAGAAGTAAGGCACAAGATGTGAGAATCCTAAAGAAAAGAGAAGCATAGACTGTAAGCAGGAGCAAACAAGTGTAAATTATAAAAAGCCATCCCTTTCTGACTCCTAGCACGTCAAATACAGCCGCTTGGTCAGAGGCTGTAAGCTTCAAACATTTCCTCAACCTAACCAAGTATTTTTGTTGTCTGAACCTATACAAACTGCGACCATTTTATAATGTTAACCACGTTTTTTTATTCACAATGAACAACATGATAATGAAGGTCACCTGACTATGATGAAATATTTCTCAGCAAGCTTTATTTTGCTAACTTGACCACGAATCCCTGGTGGTGCAAAACTGAGGCAAGAGGGTTACCCACAGTGTCATAGTTTGAAGCGTAGAGCCACAGACCAAGCGGCCCTATTTAAGACGTTGAGAGTGAGAACATGTTGAAAAAGCTCTGCAGTGAATACCAGTTTGATTAAGCTCATAATGTTCCAAGTGTTGATTCATTTCAATGGTAATTTTTTGACACCGCACTTTATAGTGTTTTTGAGCATGTACCTTTTTTGTCTGTCAGTCAGGGTCTGGATGTGATCACTGTTCCTTTTTGTCAGTGCAGCTTTCATCCGTGTGGAATATGCTGTCATGATTTCTTTTTTTTGAGCGCATAAATTAGCAGTTTGTGACTTCTGCGGCAGCAATTAAGGCA